AAAACTTGTTATTATAGTGTAATAGATTAATATCGTAAACAAAGAACAGACTGTGTGTGTTAGTTGTTTAGAAGTAAGTATTACAACCATGTAAAACTTGTTATTATAGTATAATAGATTAATATAGTAAACAAAGAACAGACTGTGTGTGTTAGTTGTTTAGAAGTAAGTATTACAACCATGTAAAACTTGTTATTATAGTATAATAGATTAATATAGTAAACAAAGAACAGGCTGTGTGTGTTAGTTGTTTAGAAGTAAGTATTACAACCATGTAAAACTTGTTATTATAGTGTAATAGATTAATATCGTAAACAAAGAACAATGAAGTGCATATGTTCTTCACAGACAGACGTACTCACCTCATTGTTTCCAACACAAGTGTAGTGCTGTTCTTCACAGACAGCACTACACTTGTGTTGGAAACAATGAGGTGAGTACGTCTGTCTGTGAGGAACAGCACTACACCTTGAGTCCCACATGGCTAAGATATGAACACACCAACATCATTGGATAAAACCAACTATCCATAGCTTCAGTCCCACATGGGTGAGATATGAACATAATAGCACTATTGGATGGATGTTTAGAAACCAAGTCCTTCTCTGAGAATTATAGTTAATTGAGTGAAACCTCCCCTTATATACTAATATGTTTGGTTGTGTCTTGAAAAGTGGCATCTTTCTAAAAAAATACCAGACAACAGACATCTTTATTCTAGATAATAAATTTATCTTTGGTTTATATCAGATATTTTCCCATATATGTATCTATTTGATTATTTTAAAACTACAAACACAGTTTCCTCATTTAAAAAACCAACTTACATCAATCAAGTCTGGAAGATCATCAACATAGTACTTCTGAACCACTGCATTCGCTGCATCCAAACACAACACGTAATCATTTCGAGCCTTCAGGGATTTGAGCTTTGAATCATTATACTTGGACTGTCTCTAAAAAGTATACACAAGAATTAGATAATGAATAATAATTGTTTTACTAGATAGAGAGAATGTCCAACTTTGTAGTAGGGTTCTGTTAATAAGCAACAGAATTTTGATTTTTCTTTTTTATTACTTAATATGTTTATAAGTAAAGAACTTTGGTATTATATATGTCTCAAATAATAACTAATAATTGCCTTCTCTAGCTGGCAAAGGCATAAAACAACACCGACTCTTCGGCCTTCTCTTGCTGGCGAAGGCATAAAACAACACCGACTCTTCGGCCTTCTCTTGCTGGCGAAGGCATAAAACAACACCGACTCTTCGGCCTTCTCTTGCTGGCGAAGGCATAAAATAACACCAACTCTTTGGCCTTCTCTTACTGGTGAAGGCATAAAACAACACTGATTCTTTAGCCTACTCTTACTAGTGAAGATATAAAATAGAAAGGACAAAATGTTTTAAAATATGGATACATATTAAGTACCATTCTCTACAGAAGTATAATTACAACAACATAGTCTGCATGTATTTTACGATTATACTCTCTGGGTTTCACAAGCAACTCAAACTTAAGTTATTGAACACACAAGAGATCAATACCTTTTGGAGATCCTTTACTATTAAATTATATTTCTTTAGTCGCTGGATCTTCTCAGAAGAGATTGACTGCTCTAGTTTGCTCTTCTGGGACTCGAGAATTTTAATCTTACTTTCCATCTGCCTTTCTTCAGAGTGGTAAGCATGGTAGGTCTTCATGCTCTAGAAACCAAAACACAAACTAGACAATCACAGCAAAACAAGACTAAAACAGTAATACAGAAATTTAAACAAGTTTTCTCCCCCCCTTTTTTTTTTAACTACAACCAGTCATGAAAACTTTTAGAATACTTATCAGAAAAAACAATAATTAAAATTCATAAACTTCAGAATTTGCCATTTTTGATAGTTTTTTCAAAAATTAAACGTTAAGAAAATCTGTAGTCAAATACCTTAACTGGAAAAAAAAAAGTGTGTGTTAAATAGAACTCTGTCTTACAACCGTTGATCTAATAACTCAATATGTGTGTTAAATAGAACTCTTACAACCGTTGGTCTAATAACTCAATATGTGTGTGTTAAATAGAACCCTTAAAACCATTGATCTAATAACTCAATGTGTGTGTGTTAAATAGAACTCTCTCTTACAACCGTTGATCTAATAACTCAATATATGTGTTAAATAGAACCCTTACAACCGTTGATCTATTAACTCAATACATGTGTTAAATAGAACCCTTACAACCGTTGATCTATTAACTCAATACATGTGTTAAATAGAAATCTTACAACCATTGATCTATTAACTCAATATGTGTGTGTTAAATAGAACTCTTACAACCGTTGGTCTAATAACTCAATATGTGTGTTAAATAGAACTCTTACAACCATTGATCTATTAACTCAATATGTGTGTTAAATAGAACTCTTACAACCATTGATCTATTAACTCAATATGTGTGTTAAATAGAACTCTTACAACCATTGATCTATTAACTCACAGTATGAAGCTCATGCAGGACTTTCAGTAGTTCTTCATGGCTTTCCACTCCAACTTCTCGACACTGTAAAAACACATCTTTAATTAAACTGTTCCGTTAATAAACTGGAAACAAATCAATGTTCACTACTTTTCTCAAATTTAGATATAACAGGCACGGTTTCAAACCCTAACAAAACATCAAACTTACATATATATTCATTTAGCAGATTTATAATGGAGTGTTTTGGGACTGACTGACAAATGACTCTCTGACTTAACTGTTGAGAAAAAACATTGCTGGCTATTGATCTAGCTATATATATATAATAAACCTTAACAGAAAATATATGAACACTATCTTCATTTACAAGAGACGAATTATCTATTTTACAGCATTAAGTTACAATACTATAATTTAGGAAAATATATACAATATTTTCCCTTCAAATGTTGTCAAAAGTTATGTTTAATCACACACTACATACATAATAACACAAGTCATCAAGTGTACAAGTGTAAAATTAGTAAATATTATTGCCGTAAACAACACACAAATGTCCTGGATCATAAATTTGTGAAGGAATCGTTTTTCATAAAATCTAAATCCCCATCCATGTCGATGTAAAAAATGTCCTTTTGTCAATACAAAGATCAGAGAAAAATAGACAAACTTAATCGTAATTAAACAAGATATTACCCTCTTGTACATTCTCTGAACATCTTCTATAATTTGTCCAAAGCGGCTGGTGAGAGTGTTCGCGTAGATTTCACTAAGAATAGCTCTATCCCGGCTTTCCTTTCGTGTCGATGAAAGCAAGCTTTCCCAGCATGTGTTGGAAGAGAACAGATGCCATTGTTCTCTTCTGGTGGTAAATATAAAAACAATGCCAAATATCAGGCCTAATGTGATACAACAATTTTTATAGATTAAATAACTTTAAAAAATATTATAATAGAATATAAGGGTTAATGTAGTGAGATTTCCACAGTGGTCTAAGGACCCTTCTCCAATTTTGTGAGACAAAAAAATTTCAAGATAACATTCACAAAAGTATTTTATATTAAAATCTTGAAAACATTATAACCTATAACCATAACTATGAACTATAACCTATAACCATAACTATGAACTATAACCATAACTATGAACTATAACCTATAACCATAACTATGAACTATAACCTATAACCATAACTATGAACTATAACCATAACTATGAACCAAAAATAATGTTTTAACAATTCTAAAAAAAAAAGAAGAATCCTAAAAATTAGCTGAATAATTTTACTGAACAAAATTCCTGCTTTTTATTTTTATATACAGTATGTACTGTTCTTCAAACATACTCACTTCATTGCACACATGTAGTGCTGTTCTTCACAGCCAGACGTACTCACCTCATTGTTTCCAACACACCCAACTATCCATATGATGTTGGTGTGTTCATATCTCACCCATGTGGGACTCAAGCTATGGATAGTTGTTTTATCCAATGATGTTGGTGTGTTCATATCTTAGCCATGTGGGACCCAAGCTATGGATAATTGGTTTTATCCAATGATGTTGCTGTGTTCTTATCTCACCCATGTGGGACTCAAGCTATGAATAGTTGGTTTTATCCAATGATGTTAGTGTGTTCGTACCTTAGACATGTCGGACTCAAGCTATGGATAGTTGGTTTTATCCAATGATGTTGGTGTGTTCGTATCTTAGCCATGTGGGACTCAAGCTATGGATAGTTGGTTTTATCCAATGATGTTGGTGTGTTCGTATCTTAGCCATGTGGGACTCAAGCTATGGATAGTTGGTTTTATCCAGTGATGTTGGTGTGTTCATATCTTAGCCATGTGGGACTCAAGCTATGGATAGTTGGTTTTATCCAGTGATGTTGGTGTGTTCGTATCTTAGCCATGTGGGACTCAAGCTATGGATAGTTGGTTTTATCCAGTGATGTTGGTGTGTTCGTATCTTAGCCATGTGGGA